GAAAACTCATTTCGGCCACTTGTATCCGACATCTCGTTCTTTCGGTCTCAACCCAAAGCTCATGACCATAGATGAGGGTAGGAACGTAGATCGATCGGTAAATTGAGAGCTTCGCCTTTTGACTCAGCTCTCTCTTCACCACGACAGACCTGTACAGAGCCCGCTTCACTGCAGACGCTGCACCTATCTGCCTATCGATCTCACGCTCCATTTTTCCCTCATTCGTGAACAAGACCCCAAGATACTTGAACTCCTCCACTTGGGGCAAGACCTCCTCCCTGACCCGGAGAGGGTACTCTACCTCTTTCCGGCTCAAGACCATGGCCTCGGATTTGTAGGAACTGATCCTCATCCCGGCCGTGTCGCACTCTGCTGTGAACCGCTCCAGCGAAAGCTGTAGATCACGATCTGATGAAGCCAACAGGACCGCATCATCTGCAAGAAGCAGAGATGCAATCCTAAGGCCACCAAAACGGATCCCTTCAACACTATCACTGCACCTAGAAATTCTGTCCATAAAAGTTATGAACAGAATCTGTGACAAAGGGCAACCTTGGCGGAGTCCAACTCTCACCGGGAACGAGCCCGACTTGCTGCCGGCGATGCGGACCAGGCTCTGACACTGGTCATACAAGGACCTAACAGCCCATATCAAAGGGCCCGGTACCCCATACTCCCAGAGTATCCCCCACAGGGTCCCCCGAGGGACGCGGTCGAACACCTTCTCCAAGTCCAGAAAGTACATGTAGACTGGTTGGGCAAACTCCCACGCACCCTCCAGAACCCTGCTGAGATTGTAGAGCTGGTCCTGTGTTCCACGACCAGGACGAAAACCGCACTGCTCCTCCTGAATCCGAGGTTCGACTATCCGACGGACACTCCTCTCCAGAACCCCCGAATAGACCATGCCCCTGGGCAGTTGCCCATAGCTGGGCTATGATCCAAGATGGCGCCATGTATGGTCGCCCTGGCATTCTGGTGCGCTCTGTGTTTTCTGTTTTTGTGCTTTAATCATGTATCTGCATGCTCCTACACTCACGAGCTATGATCCAAGATGGCGCCATGTACGGTCGCCCTGGCATTCTGGTGCGCTCTGTTTTTTCTGTTTTTGTGCTTTAATCATGTATCTGCATGCTCCTACACTCGCAAGGAGCTACTAAACATCAGAATTACAACCCATGAGGACATTACTCCAGTTTTTTTAGTGCCTGCTGCAGAACTTGTGCACTTTTTGGCCAAAAGAGTGAGACTTCGCAGGAGGGGCAGAATAGCTGGAGTGCTCGTGCGTCTCCGGAGGCGCGGTACACGACGCCTTTACCTGGGATATTTCTCTCAAACATCCGTTCCCTCTACAATAAAATGGACGAGATAGCGCTGCTGATGAGAAGGAACAGCGATTTTTCCTCCTGTGTGCTGTGCTTCATGGAGACATGGCTCAAGGAGCAGACCCCTGACTCCGCGCTCCATCTAGAGGGTTTCCAGCTCCTCCGCGCTGACAGACAGCAGGAACTTTCCGGAGGAAAGAAGAAAGGCGGAGGAGTCTGTTTCTTTATCAACAATGCCTGGTGCTCCGACGTGACAGTGATCTCCCAGCACTGCTCTCCTTCTCTGGAATATCTCTTCATAAACTGCAAACCGTTCTACTCTCCACGTGAGTTTACTTCATTCATTCTGGCCGCTGTTTACATCCCACCGTGCGCGGACGTGCACGAGGCTGAGCGCGCGCTCTTGGACCAGATTACGAGTGTAAAGCGAACTTTTCCGGACTCCCTTGTTATCATCCTTGGAGATTTTAACAAAGCAAACCTCAAGCATGAACTACCTAAATATAAACAGTTTATTAAATGCCCGACAAGAGAAGGAAA